GTCAATAGGAGAATGACGATATATCCCTGCCATGGCATATTAACCATGAAAGTGAATGGCTTTGAGCCATGCCAACCGACCTGAAGGGAACTCTCTGTGAGCTGTTCAGTAAGAAGAGCCAGGCAGAAAGTGTCTGTAATGTGAGCCCCTTTCTGGTAAGGCAATACCGTGAGCCTTATTTATGCTAGTGACTGGAGAGCATGGAGGAAACTGCAGAAGGAGGCGTGGTGGCGTATGGCTGTGTATGTGATGTGTTTGCCTAGCCTGAAAAACGAGAATGGTGATGTGGGGAGGCAGGGAAGAGAGCTGTAAAAATGAAACAGGACCTCAAATAGAATGGTCCTGCTTGTGCACATAAAAATGAAATTGCAAAAACAAAAAATTATGAACATACAGAACATCTTGACTGAAATGCCCAGTGAGTATGAAGTGGCCTGGTAGCCACTGTGATGAGCCAGCAAGAGGGCCTGAAGCAACACCCTCCCTCCCCGTGCACCTGACTGTTCCCCTCCAAGAACCCAAGATCCCCACAGCCAGGACCCACTGCAAGGCCACCTGGGGTGAGTGGCCAACTGGCCAGGAGCAAAATAGCCCTCAGGGGCTCCTCTGACTTCTGCTCAAAATTCATGGCCAGAGTGGAGTCCCAACAGCAGAGTGGGACTTTGAGAATTTGTAGGAACCCACAGATCAGAAGCCACAAGTGATGAAAGGCTAGAGGGGGTACACTGACAGGTGCTTGATCAGAAGCAGAGAATCTGGTAACAGCCCCCGGGTCTTATGTGGTGGCCCATGTGGGAGTTCATTCTGAAAGCACCTGTTCTTACAGAACGAATGCTCTTGTTTGTTCTAGGCCTAACATCCATTCCTCAAAAGGCAATCCAGCCCCAGCCGTAGGCAACTGCCCAGGTTATCTTGTACCTGGCAAGCACTACACTGCTGGGAGAAAAGCAGACAATAGTTGATGGGCATGCTGGACCTGGTTATTGCCAAATTTGTGTTAACTAAACTAGTGTGCCAGCACAGTTACTCCTTTTTTTAAGAAAAGATAAGTGGGGAAGGTGGGGAACTCTGAACCAGACATGCCACCCCCACCTCCAAGTTGGGGGGCTGCAGATTGCCCAGGAACAGGGCTTATTGGAGTGGGAGCAGTTGAGGGCATGTTTGCCAGGGAAGGAATGATCTGAGGTCTTTCATGAAATGGACCACTATATTTATAGGTAGGCAAGGGAGCTGAGGCAGAGTAATTTCGAGAAGGGAAACCAGAGGGCAGATCTGAATCGGAGAAAGATACCTGCCCACGTGAGATAACTAGACTGGGCTAAATAGCATCACTCATCACCAACTGGCACTTGCAAAAGCTGGGACTGAGGGGCATGCCTGGCTGGGTTAGGCTACAGTACCTGCCTATAAGTGTCAGAGCAAGGTTGGAGGGGTGCTTCGTCAGGCTCAGTTGTAGTGCCCACCAGAACACATGAGAACTGGATCTGGGGGCAGATTCTATAGGGGGAATTGTGGGCTCACCTCTGTGGAACTACAGGACCCTGCAGCTTATGTGGAAAGTTGGGTGTGGTGACTGCCCAAACCAGATACCCACCTGACATGGGGGCTGGGGCTGGGAGAAGGCCAGGTAGGGCCAGCCTGCAGCACCTGCCAATGTATGCAAGGGCAGGGACTGAGGGCAGACCAGCAAGGCTGCTGCCCTCATTGGCACAGGTGGGATCTGGGGCTGGGAGCAGGCCTGGTATGGGAACTTCAAGAACTCCCCTACTAATCTGCTCCGGCCAGCAGAGCCAGTAACATGGACACGGAGAGGGTCTGGGGATGAAGCACTGGCAGGAGACAGTGATGGTGGATGTCTCTGGGAAGTCTCCCTTTATTGTTCCTTCACCTCCCCTTGTATACTCCTCCCCTCACATCCTCATTTAGCAGGATATCGGATACAGATAAGTCCAATTAGTCTAGGTGCTTTTAGCCACAAACCCAGTTGCTGTTCCTGCCCAATTCCTGTTCCTGCTCAGCCCAACAAGCACTAACCAACTCCTTAGCCCACAACACTAATCCACAGCTCCCTCTGGGAAGCATAGGAGCTGCAACTAGGGACAGGCCAGGCCAGGCAAGGCTGCAGTACTCTGTCAACATTTGTGTGGGCCGATCTGGGGAAAGGCCTGGCTGGGCTAGGTCATAGCACCTACTGGCACACATGAGAACCTGAACAGGTTATGAACCATGCCCAGGTGGGCCTAGCTGCAACACCTACCACCAAGAACTGAGACTGTAGTAGGCCTTGCCAGGCTGGGTCAAAGCACCTGCCAGCACACACACAAGACCTAGGGCCGGGAACAGACCTGGTATAGGCACTGTGGGGACTCTCCTGCTGGGCTGCAGCTCCCACTGGTAAATGCGAGAGCTGGGGCTATGGGCAGACCTGGCTGGGCAAGGCTGCAGCATCCATCGATGCATGTGTGGGCTGAGTCTAGGGGCAGGGCATCTGGGCTGAGCTTCAATATCTGGTGGTGCTCACAAGAACCAGAATGGGGTGAGACAGGCCAGGCTAGGCCATGGCACCCACTGGGTCACACGGGAGCTGGCTATGGGGTGGACCAGGCTGGTCTGTCCTACATCTACCCAGGCTCTCAGAGCACCAGATGGTGCTGGAGTCTAGCCCGGTTAGGTGTGCTCAGCCCTAGGGAGCGTGCCTGTGGTGTTGTATCTAAAAAGTCACCTTCATACCCAAGATCATTTCCTCTGCCACTTTCTAAAAGTTTGACAGTTCATTTATATCCATATTTTCACCCATTCTGAGTTAACTTCTGGGAAGGGTGTACGTTCTGTGAATTGGTTACTTTTTCATGCTGATTTCCAGTTCTAGTACCATTTATTGGCTCCTTTGGGGCCAGATGCAATGACTCAATTGACTAATCTACGTATGCCAGAATCTCATATCAGTGCCAGTTTGTATCCCAGTTTCCCCGCTTCCCACCTAGTTCCATGCTGACAGCCTGGGAAAGCAGTGGATGACAGCCCAAGTGTTTGGTTCCCTGCAATTACATGAGATACCAGGAAGAGCCCCCGGCTCCTGGCTTTGGATTGGCTCAGCTCTGGCCACTTCGGCTACTTGGACCAGTCCATGGGAGATCTTTCTGTCTGTCTCCTTCTTTCTGTAAATCTGACTTTCCAATCAAAATGAAGGAAAGGAGGGAGGGAGGGAGAGAGAGAAAGGAAGGAAGGAAGAGAGAAAGAAATAAACCATCTTTGTGCATTATGTGTCCTTTTTCTTTTTTGAACATCAGGTGACTGCGTTTGTGTGGTTCCTAACTGACTTTGTGTTCTGTTGCTCCACTTGTCCATCCTCTTGCCGATATCGCAGTTGTACCCACTGATGCTTTACCCGAAGTCTTCAAGCTGTCTAAGGTCAGTCCTCCACTTTGCTCTCCTTCAATACTGAACTCAGTATTTTTAGCCTTTTGCTTCCCTACTTAAATTTTGGAATCAGCTTGTCAACTTTCCCAAGATAATTTGCTGGGATTTTTTTTTTATTTGGACTATGTTGAATTCGTGGATGAAATTGCATACAGGATATTTTAATAAGAAATTATAATTCCTATTCCCATGATAATATTTTCTAAATTCAGTATGTCATTCTTTCCTTGGTTTGATTTTCATCTTATTGTTGCACATTCTTTTGGCATGACACATGTCTCTCATGCTTATGTAATAAGTCAAACTGACAAGTCCCCAGACACCATCCTGAGGACAGTTATTTCACCAATCATATATCTTCAGAATGACTTTATTATTTTTGTAAAAATGATACATTCTTATTCGTAAAGAACAAAAGATAGTTTGGACAATCTTATGAAAATCTCCACCCACAGAGACAAACATTAGGTGAACAGTATTCTAGGTATTTCTAGGATCTTAACATTAAGCAACTAGAGGTGTTATTTTTTCTCTGAACTGTTACTGCTGTGTTTATTTATTGGAAAACCAGAATCAGGTAGGGAAAAAGTACTCTCACATGCCTGCTACCTCGGGGGCTGGGACAGAGGTTGAAACCAGAAACCCAAAACTCCAGGTAGGTCTCCACGGGTGCAGCAGGAAACCCGTTCCTCGAGCCATCACTGCTGTCTCCTGGAGTCCGTACCGGCAGGCATCTGGAGTCAGGAGCTAGAAGTGGGCCCACACCCAGGCACTCCAACCTGGGAGGAGGGTGTCCAGGAGATGGGCTGAACACGTGCCCCAGGATTTATTTCTTTTCATTTGAAAGGCAGAGTTACACACAGAGAGAAGAAAGAACGATCTTCCATTCTCTGGTTTACTGCTTGAATGGCAATTATCACCAGACCTGAGCCAATCCAAAGCCAAGAGCTTCCTCTGGGTCACCCATGCAGGTGCAGGATTCCAATGCGTGGACGTTAGAGCATGTTTCTGAGTACTACTCGACACTCTTGGACTAACATATCCTTGCATCACACCTTATTTGGATCAGAATTTGGCAACATGTCTCCATTATCATCAGACACTTCTTTTTTTTATTGTTAATAACATTGTATTATGTGATACAGTTTTATAGGTACTGGGATTCCCCCCACTTCTGAGCCTGGTAGCCTAGCGGTTAAAGTCCTCACCTTGCACATGCCAGGATTCCATATGGGCACCAGTTCATGTTTTGGTGGCCCCACTTCCCATCCAGCTCCCTGCTTTGTGGCCTGGAAAAGCAGTGGCGGACGGCCCAAAGCCTTGGGACCCTGCACCCACGTGGGAGACCTGGAAGAGGCTCTGAACTTTTGGCTTCAGATCAGCTCAGCTCCAGCCATTGTGGCCACTTGGGGAGTGAACCATCAGACAGAAGATCTTCCTCTCTGTCTTTCCTTCTCTTTGTATATCTGACTTTCCAATAAATACATACATAAATAAATGGACAACTCCTTATGTTGCAAATCAACACAAGCCTAAGAACTCCAAACTCATTTGGGACCCTGTCCTTCTCAACCATTCAGGCACATTCCCACCCAGGGGTTCCCTGGCCTCGGGAGCCCCGCCACAAGCGTGGACTGCGGGAGATTCAGAAACAGGAGCCTCAGCACACACACAGCTGTGGCCTCTCTGCTGGCCTGAACCCCTGGGTTTCCTCCTCGGCCAGAGATCAGCCCTAGAATGCCTGAGACTGTGTATGTGTGACCATGTCCAGCCCACCCCAGCACACAGCAGCCAATTGATCCCCTCCCGGGACTGCTGTCCACCTTTGGGGACAAACCTCACTCATCCCCAGAACAATCCTCAAGATCACCTGTGACAGAGCTGGGCCAGCTCAAAAGATCCTGGGAACAGGAGGAAGCAAGCCAGCATTTGCCAGCAGACCTCATGGTCATGTCCAGTTTGTGGAGATGCTCTGGCTACGGCCTGCCCCTCGCAGTTGTCAGCCCAGGCCCATCCTGAGCCTTCTGCACAGGCTCTTGGGGCTAGCCCAGCTCTTCTGAGGTCCAGCTTCCTTCAAGCTATAGATGTCAGCATCATCACTTCCCCACACCTATGCAGCCCAGGGTTGAAGAAAACACTGGTTGTTGGGCCCGGCACAATAGCCTAATGGTTAAAGTCCTTGCCTTGTACGTGCTGGGATCCCATACGTGCAGGTTTAAATCCTGGCTGCTCTGCTTCCCTCCCAGCTCCCTGCTTGTGGCCTGGGAAAGCAGTCGAGGATGGCCCAAAGCCTTGGGCCCCTGCACCCACATGGGAGACCCAAAAGAGGCTCCTGGCTCCTGGCTTTGGATCAACTCAGCACCTGCTGGGTTTCCTGCTTGAGGAATGAACCAGTGGATATCCCCGTCAGAGTGCCTGGCTCTCTTGTCTCTTTCTCTCTGTAAATCTGACTTTCCAATAAATAAATAAATAAGTAAAAAATAAATAAATAAGGAACTAAAGTGACAAGTGCAGGCCCTTGGTGCCACATGCCGTCCATGGATGCTGTGCTGGATGGGGCTGACACAGACCCTAGGCACTAACACTGAGGACATGCAAAACCATGCACTGCAGGTGTGTATGGATGTGCAGCGTCCAGATACCATGGAAACCTCGCAGACGTCAAAGGACAAAGTCAGGCTGCATCTGGGAAGGCAAGTGCCCGAGCTCTGAGAGTGCTCGGGTATCTGTGGTTTCTGTCCTGGCCAGATGTGGCTATGCATACACTCATTAGATTGCTGCCTGCACTTTGACAGGCCTAAAGCACTTCATCAAACCAGCCTCTTCAAGCAAGATGGGCTGGTTCTGGGGCACTGGCATCAAGCATGACCTCGGGGCAGGCAGCAGACCAAACTGTCCAAGTTATTATTTGTTTTAAGATTTATCTGTTTGAAAGAGAAGCGCACAGAGAGAGAGAGTGAGAAAAATATCTGCTGCTTCACTCCCCCAAATGGCCACAATGACTGGGCTGAGCCAGGCCAGGAGCCAGGAGCCAGCTCCACCTAGATCTCCCACATGGGTGGCAGGAGCCCAGATACTTGAGACATCATTATCTGCTGGTTCCCAAGAACATTGGCAGGGACGTTGATCACAAACAACAGAGCCAGGACTCAACTGGGCATGCCAATATGGGATGCAGGCATCCCAAGTGGCAGCTTAACCCACCATGCCACAACATCCACCTCTGGCTTGAGGTTCTTGCCTGGGAATCTGCCCTGTCCCCGTCCAATATATCTTCCCCTGCATCTTGCCTGGTACCTGGGGCCTCTAGACAGCCATGATGGAGGGTCAGGTACCAGTGTGGTACAGCCTAGTTCCAGAGGCCACACATGTGTCCCCCTGGCTGGCCCGGCACAGCCCTGCCGTAGAGGCCACACTCCCCTTCCCTCGGGCACCCCACCCCCAGCTCCTGGACCAAGCCTAACTGGATGCACCTTGAATGGAGACCACTTACTACTTTGACCCATTGGAATCCCCAAGAAGCCTGGCATAGCAGCACTCCATGCAGACTCTCTGTCCACCAGACAGCAAGCTGGCAGGACCCAGGGGGCATGGGAGTTCTGGGCCAGCTTCCCAGGGCCTCTGAGGCCCATGGGCTCCCCAATGAAGACACTGGCCTTGGCTAGGTTGGCAGCTCAGTGAGGAGGGGAAGCCTGTCCCTGGCTGGGCTGGAAAGAACTGGGGTTGGCCATGACCGAGGCCGGTTGGGCAGCCAGGCCCTCCTCTTTAAACCAATCCCCTGGCCATGGAATGCGGGCACTTTAGGTGGGCACACGTGGGCATTTTAAGTGCCACAAGCCCCAGACAAAGGGAGCCAATCCTGTCCCGCCCCTTGAGTGTCACCTGGGGACCACATGCTGCTTATCAAGTCAGGGTCTGACATTTACTTGATGGCTTTGTGTCAATGTCTGATGTGACATCTCACAAAAGAAGGGGTGAGGACCATGTCCAGTAAGGACCACACAGATCTTGTGTTTCCTGGTGCTCTCCTGAATGCCCACAACACCAGGGCTGGGCCAGAGGAGCTGGCTCTCGAGTCAGGCACTCCGATATGGGATATGGATGCCCCAGGTGGCTACTCAACTCTTTCATTTTTTAAGTGAGTGAGGCCATTTGCATTTTCTTTCTTTTAATTAAAAACTGAACCAAATTAAATCTCTCTGGCTGCCGGTTAGGGGGCAGACTCCTCATTTCATGTTTGTCTGCCCAAATCTTCCCTGGGCTTTGGGAATCCCAAGAGGCAAGAAGCCTAGTCCTGCCTTGGGCAACTGTCCTCCTCCATTTGGGGAACATAGCCCAGAAGTACCAAATGTATTCACCCTGAAGGGAAGGTGGACTCTCCAGGGAATTCTGAGGTGCCCATACCACAGGTCATGGTCAGGCAAGTGAGGCAGGGGCCCCCACAGCTCACAGGAGCCCGGCACCCCTTCTGTGATGGTTCCCTTTCCTGAGCGCACCCTAGACCAAACTGTACCCCACAAATAGCACCAGTCAGTGGGAGGCTGGGGAGTGGGGATCTCTGAGGTTACTTCAGAAAAAGCAAGGGGTTTGTTTGGGTTCTGATGAGCAGGTGTCACCTGTGGTTTGAGATGGGGCTAATAGCTGGGAGAAGGGATGTGAGAAGTCAAAAGAGGCAGGAACACGACTTGGAACACAGGTAAGCAGGAGCGGGGGTGGAGCATAACAAAAGGGTATGCACAGCATGGATGGCAGCCAGAGACGCCTGGGTCTCTGTAGATGTGACCCTGGTCTCTCCCTAAGCCCTGGCATGCCGGGAGAGACAGTGTCCCCTCTGTTACCGCTCAACAAGGTTTGGCAACAGAAGCCTTAAGGAAGGCCAGCCTTGGCTGATGTGTGGGTTAGTTATACAAGGGGGCGGACTGGGCAGGGCTGAGCAAACCTTAGCTCACAAGCAAAAATAGAAATCAGGATTGAGCACAGGTCATGCTGAGCTAGGCTTTTACACCTACTGGTCTGCTTCAGCCAGAGATGCTAGGCCACAGCATCAAAGGCAAAGGCTGAGTCAGGTGAGGGGCTGTGCCAGGCTGGGTCAGAGCAAACACTGGCATATGCTCAATCTATGGCTGGGAACAGGCCCAGTTGGGGAGCCATGAAAGTACACCCTTGCTGGGTTGGGGTTCCCCCTGGTGAGTTTGGGGACTGGAATGGGGGCTGCTTTCTGGTCTGGATATGGCTGCAATCTTCCTTGGCACAAGTGTGGACTGGGGCTGAGTACACCTAACCGGGCTAGACTCCAGCACCATCTAGTGCTCTGGAGGACCAGGGTAGATGTAGGACAGATACACCAGGGTAGATGTAGGTCTCTGCCCCTACTGAGCCATGTGTGAGCTGTGACTGGGTTTGATCGAGCCTTGGCTGGGCTGAAATATCTAATAGTAAGAACCAGAATGGGTTGAAGGCCAGTCAGGAAAGGCCACTGTTCCTACTAGGACAGGAGGTAGACTAAGTAGGGCTGGCGCATGGACCCACCAGTATGTGTGAGATCTGGCATTGGGAAAGTTTCTGATAAAGGAGATTGGGCAACTCCTCTGGCAGGACACAGTCCCTGCAGGTGAGCACAAGAATGACGATAGGGAGAAACCCAGACCAGGCAAGGAAAAGATACCCATTGGCATGCATTTGGCACAGCTTGGGTGCAGACCAAGTTGAACCAGTTCACATCACCTGCTGGCGAATCCAAGAACCAGAACAGAGTGTGGGTTGGGCCAGGTATGGTCACAATACATACCAGTACACATTGCAACTGGGATTGGGTGCATGCTGGGCTGGGTTAGACTGTAACTAACCCTCACCAACTGGAATTGGGGATGGGCCGGCCCGTGTTGGGCCAAGCTACAGAACTCACTGGCAAATGCCGAGGCGAGAGGGGCTGTACCAAACTAGCCGCAGTGCCCAACCAGCGCACGTGAGAACCAGGGAGAGAGGGGGTAAAGCCAGCAGGGGGAATGTGGAGGACTCCCCCCTCCTTGCTGCAACACCTTGCCTACTGGAGAATGTGAATCGGGATGGAGACAGACCAGACCGGTTAGGGCTATAACACCTATTGGCCTCATGTGAGCTAGTTTGGAGAAAAGCCAGACTTGGTTGAGTGTTCTGACTGGTACAAGCATAAATTAGAGTAGGTGAGGATTGGTTGGGCTTTGCCACATCATCAGCTGGCAGAGACTGACACTGGGGGCTAAATCTGTCAAGTTAAACTCCAGAATCACCTGGAGAGTGCATAATCCAGGAGTAGACCCAGGAGGTAAAATAGTAGGTACCTCCCTCTTGGATTATTACTCCCTTCTGGAGAGCATGAAAACCAGGACAGGGACAGAGGTGGCTAGACGGAAAGGCAAGTGCCAGTATGTGTGTGGGCTAGGTAGTGGACCCAGTTGGGTTGAACTAGGTTTCAGTGCCCATTGACAAGTACCAGAGCTAAATGGAATGTGGGACAGACTGAACAAGTCTGCAGTACATAGTAGCAAGCACGGGAACCAGGGCAGGGGCAGGCCTCATGGGGCTCATTGTGAGTTGCTCCGACTAATCTGTAGCTCCCACTGGTTTATGTGAGGGCCGAGTGTGAAGTGGGCAGGATCAGACTGGACTGTAACACCTATTGTTTTGTGTGGAAGTCAGGGCTGGAAGCAGAACTGGCCCAGCAATTGCAACCACCAGCATGTGCATAAGCTGATTGGGGTGACGGACTGCGCCTAAGCCTGTACTGGCAAAATACACATTGGAATCAGGTCTGGGATCACCTCAGACAAAGTTTCTTTGGGGATCCCTCCAACTGAACTGCTGGACTCAGAACCCTAATCATGAAGAGAAGTGCAGGTTCCGTGGTCTGACCATGAAGAGCAAGTGTTAAAGCTGAGCCTCCTCAGAGGCACAGACGGAGCAGTGGACAGCATGCCCAGGTGCACACGGAGGAGATGGCAGTCCATTAGAACCTGCAGAGGACACCTGGTAGCACAACAGAGGACGGAGGACAGAATAAATCAATCAACTATCCCAGCCAAGTGCTGACAGTGAATACCTGAGCAAATGGAGATGCTAAGGTGGACTATGCCAGCCAGTGGATCCTGAAATGATTTAATCATGCTTGGAATGGTGAGA